GTTTGCAGATCTTGCTGCAGCTTCTGTGCTCTCCCCTTTCTTGGAGCCCAGGACAGCCCTCCCTCGACCTCCCCCTTCCCTTCCTTCTTCCCCCTCCCAGTGTCCCTAAAGGGGCCCACCTTCAAGAGCTCCTAGCTGAGCTGAGCTGCTGCCCCCACCCCCAGTCCCAGCAGCTTGCTCTCAGGAGCCTGGGAACCGGATCAGCCCCAGGGCCACTTCCAGATGGAAGACGCACCTGCGGCCCACTTCCCTGGTCTGTTTGGCTGATGGGGGCAGAAAGAAATGACTGGCGGGGGGGCTCCCCACTGCTCTGAGCCTGATGTCACAGAGCCTTCTCTCTCCTCCGCCCTTCCCCCTCTGCTCTGAGAGACTAGCCCCGCCCTACAGTGACGTCACTGTACCCACCCTCTCTCACCATCTTGGAAGTCTTTGTCTCTGGTGGAGGCTATGAGTGGGGTGAGCAGCTGGAGGTCCGAGTGCCCCCCCACTTTCCTTCTCCACACCCCTCCCCTCCGTTACCCCCATCTTCCAGACTGACAGATCCGGAGGGTCCTGCAAGTGTCGAAGTGTCTGTGAGCGAGGTGAGTGCCCCCTCCCTGCTCCTGCCTCAGCCCCTCCCTTTCTTCTCCTTCTCTTCTCCCACCACAAAATTTTCATGAAGCCGAGGACGCCCCCTCCACAATTTGCTTCTCTTAATGATCAGGATGTGGTTTCTAAGGGTGAGTGGAAGGTCCTGGGAGTATGGATACCTTTGTTTATGCCTGTGTTGTGTCCGTAGGTAGGATCGTCTGTGGGGGGGGGGTATGAATGTTTCAGTGTGTGTATGTATGGGGGGGTGCTCCGTGTGCCTACTCCCCCAGGGCTGCTTCTCCCTGGAGCTTCCTGCCTTCCCAGGCCTTTGTGTGGAGGTCTGGGGCTTGGGGGTGGTGACGTGAAGTGGAGTGGAGGCCAGCAGGGAGAAGCCTTTGGAGACACTCCCTGCCTCCCCCCCTCAGGTGGATGTTTCCATCGTTTCTTCCTCCCTTCCTCCCATCCTTGGCTTGGCCTTGAGGCTGGGGAGAGGACACAGTCTAGGAACTCTTCCCCTCCCCTTCTCCTTGTCACCTCTTTTGTTTGGTGTCCTTTACTTTAATGGTATATTGATTTTTTGTTCTGGTTTCCACCAGGGCCTGGTGAATGGGGAGTTTCCACGTACCTTGCTGTGGAACAGAAAGAGGGGACTGTTCCTGAACCTGCGGATCTCTGTGATTTACAGCCTGAAAGAAAAGAGTTGTTTTAATGTGCACTTCTCTAATTACAAGGAATTTGGAGCATTTTGTCTCCCGTTTGTAGAGGACACTGAGCCAGAAAAGAGGATGTGCCTCCCTCTTGTCCAGGGTCTGCAAGGTTTATATTATATAGGATTTATGCCAGAGTACCCTCACATGAACAGCCAGGGCAGACAAGCTGCCTCCCTTGGTGCCCCAATCTCCCTCACCCCCTTCCCCGCCCAGATCTTTGTCTCCTTTTGGCGGGAGAAAAGAGGCTGAGTCCCGCCCCTTCCTTAGACCTCCCCCAACACTTTCTCTGCTCTGGGGATTGTGAGGAATCCAAGTTCCATTCACTACTGCTTTGCAGATGCTGCTGCAGCTACTGTTCTCTTCCCTTTTGTGGAGCCCAGGGCACCCCTCCCTCCCCCTCCGCCATGCCCTCTTTGTCCTCCCCCTCCCAGTTTGCATAAAGGGGCCGATCCTCAAGAACTGCAAGCTGAGCTCTGCTGCCGCTTCCCACCCCATTCCCAGCAGCCTGTCCTCGTGAACCTGGGACCCTGGTCAGCGCCAGGGCCACTTCCACGTGGAAGATGCACCTGCGGTCCGCTTCCCTATTCTGTTTGGGTCATGGAGGTAGAGAGAAATGACTGGGAGGGCTCCCCACTGCTTTGGGCGTGATATCAGAAACCCCCTCCTCTCCTTCTTTGCTCTGGAGGAGACTACCCTGCTCTGCAGTGACGTCACAGAGTCCGGGCCTGAAGGAGGGGGTGGGGCTCTCCTACCTTCTATTAAGTGTGAGTTTCTTTGTCTCTGGAGGAGGATGTGAGTAGCATGGAAAGCTAGAGGTCTCCTTGCCCCTCCACACCCCTCCCCTTCGTTACCCCCATCTTGCAGACTGACGTATCCTGAGGGTCCTACTAATGCCTAAGTGTTTCTGAGGGAGGTAAGTGCCCCCTCCCCTGGTCCTGCCTCAGCCTCCCCCTTTTTTCTCCTTTTCTTCCTTTCTCCCCCCCCAACCTTTTCATGAATCAGACCCTCGACCCTCCCCAATTAGTGCTCAGGAGGTTGGGTGTAATGGTGGGTGGAAGATCCTGGAGTATCAATGCTTTTGTTTATGCCTCTAGTATATGTAGGTTGTATAATCTGTGTGTGTCTGTGTGTGTGTGTGTGTAAGACAGAGGCTGGTGGGGGGAGCGTGTGTCTTTTGTGGGTGTGTGCTCCTGTGCCTGCTTCCCCATGGCTGCTTCTGCCTGGGGCTTCCTGCCTGCCCATGCATTTGACTGCAGGTATGGAGCTTGGGGGGTGGGGAGATGCAGTGGGGTGGAGGCCAGCTGGGAGAAGCCTTTGGAGACACTCCCTCCCTCCCCTTCTCAGGTGGATGTTTCCATCCTTTCTTCTTCCCTTCCTCCCATCCTTGGCTTGGCCTTGCGGCTGGGGAGAGAGGACAGAGTGTAGGAACTCTTCCCCTCCCCTTCTCCTTGTCACCTCTTTTGTTTGGTGTCCTTTACTTTAAGGTATATGATTTTTTGTTCTGGTTCCACCAGGGCCTGATGAATGGGGAGTTTCCACGTACCTTGATGTGGAACAGAAAGAGGGACTGTTCCTGAACCTGGGATCTCTGTGATTTACAGCCTGAAAGAAAAGAGTTGTTTTAATGTGCCCTTCTCTCATTATAAAGGATCTGGATCATTTTGTCCTAGGGCCTTTGATAGTTTGGACTTCTTCCTTTGAAAACGTGCCTGTCCTTTGACCTAGTAGAGAATGGCTCTTATTCTTAGAAATTGCAATCAGTTCCTTCTTTGTCTTGCATGTGCAACAGGCCTTAGAGATCTTTACTGTAAGGAAGATTTTCCTCACTTAGTTGTTACCTTTCTCATTTTAACCGCATTTAATCTGTTTGTGCAAAAGCATTTCAACTTTATAGAAGCAGAATCATCCATTTTATTTTCGGTGATTCTCTCTATTCTTTGTTCTTTCATAACCTCTTGCCCTATCCATCAATGTGAAAAGTAATTTCCTCCTCCACTCCCTAATTTGTTATCGATTCCCTTTTTATACCTGATTCCTGTATTCATCTGTGGTTTAATTTGATTGGTGGCCAGAGGTGTTGATGACCTATCAAATTTCTGACAAACTGTTTTTTCCTTCTGCTGTCTTTTTTTTTAACTATATACTGTGTCTTTCCCCCCCCCCCCCCGCCCCAACTACTATCTATGGATTTCTTAAACACTATTTCGTTTTATTTGTTGGCTTCTGTATATTGCATACCTGATCTTTTCAACTGATCAGCTTTTCAATTTTTAAAAAGTTGAAATTGTTTTCTCGGCAGCTAGGTATTCTGCTGAGCCCAGAGTCAAGAGGAATGATCTCCTAGTGTTGAAAATGGTCTCAGACACTTACTATCTGTGTGACCCTGGGCAAGTCACTTCACCCTGTTTCCCTCAGTGTCTCATCTGTCCAATGAGCCACAAAAGAAAATGGGAAACCACTCCAATAGCTTTGCCAAGAAAACCTCAAATGAGATGAGGAAAAGTCACGACTAAACAACAGCAATAGTTATTTTCATAATCACAGATTTGTAATATCGTTTGGATCTGCTGCCGATAATCACTAAGCCAGACCCCTTTCTTTCCTCCTTCCACTCCCTCATTATTTCCCTTAAGATGTTTGACCTCTTTCTGAATTTTTTTTTATGTTTTTTGTTTCTGATGTCATCAGGGTGTCCCATGTATTCCTCCCTCTCCCTATCCTCGAGAGCCATGCCATGTGAGGAATGGTATTTCTTGATTAGGAAGGAAAAGAAAAGTGAGCACAACTGATGGATGCATTTGGGAAAAGATGTGCAATGTGTAACACCTGTGGACCTCTCACCTGGATGGGGTAGGGTGATGATGTCTTCTTACATTTCCTTTTCAGGCCCACTTCATCTTTAATGTTTTGTTAGAGGTACTTTAAAAATTTTGCTGTGTCGTTCTTTCTACTTCAGTTGTAGTTACTGAGTATATATACTGTTGGGTTGGGTTTTTTGTTTTTACTCAATTCACTTTGCATCAGTTCACAAAGGTTTTTCCATACTTCTCTGTACTCTTCCCACACATCATTTCTTCTTGCATGGGAACAGCATTCCATGCCTTTCATGTTCTTGTCTTGTTCCATGTCTTATTTAGCCATTCCCCCCTTGATGAGCATCTGCTTTCTTTACAAATCATACCTGTCACAAAGAGTGTTATTATAAATATTTTGGAATATATGGGGACATTTTTCTCATTAATGGCTCCATTGGGGTATAATGGAGTCTTTGTTTTAGAGGCTTTGGACATTGTTCTTTGCAGAATTCCAAATTACTTTGGAAAATGGATGTGTCATTTCACAGCTCCTCTAATATTAGTTTGTGTATATCCCTACCCCCCTGTTTAGGTATCACAAACATGTTTGTGCCATAAAAGGAATTTGATAGGATTCCTTCTTTACCTGTTGTTTCAAGTAGTTTATATAGTATTGGGATGAATTTTTTTTAAATGTTTACTAGAATTCACTTTCACACTTGATCTGGTCCTGAGAATTTTTTCCTAGGAAACTGATGTGTGCCGTGTTCAATTTTTTTCCTTTAAGACAGTTATTTATGTATTCTATTTCCTCTTCTGTTAACATGGGCAGGTCATGTTTTTTGTAATTATTCATCCGTTTCAAATAGATTGTCAGTTTTGCTGGCATATGTTTGAGCAAAAAGCTCCTTAGCACTGCTGTAATTTCATCTTCATTGGTGATGCATTTACTCTTTGTTTTTGAAACTGGTAATTTGTTTTTTTTTTTTGTTAATCAAGTTACCCAATAGTTTATCACGTTTTTTTTGTCTTTGTTTTTGTTTTCCTTTCTTTTTGTTTTTGCTTTTTGGTGAGGCAGCTGGGGTTAAGTGACTTGCCCAGGGTCACACAGCTAGTAAGTGTCAGGTGTCTGATGCTGGATTTGAACTGAGGTCCTCCTGACTCCAAAGCCAGAGCTCTATCTACTGCACCACCTAGCTGCCCCTGATTTATATGATTTGTTAGTATTTTGATAAAAGCAGTACCTGCTTTTATTTTTTTAATTTGATTTTTGAAAGAAAAACTTCTTAATCTCACCTTTGACTTACAGATTTCCATGTTGATGTATAATAGGAGATTTTTCATTTGTTCTTTTCTACTTTTATATTATTCGTGCCCAATTCTTTGACCTATCCTTTGTCTGTTTTATGGATCTGAGCATTTAGAGACAGAAATTTCCTCTTAAGTACTGCTTTGGGTGCATCCCACAAATTTGGATCTCTTGCCTCATTGTTGTAATTCTTTTTAATGAAATTATTGATTGCTGAATAATGTTTTGTTCTTTCACCCATTCATTCTTTGAGACTGGATATTTTACTTTTCAATTAATTTTAATCTATGCTTCCATGTCTCTGTAATTTATATTGCATCGTGGTCTGTAAAAAGTGCATTTAGTATTTCTCTTTTTTCTCCATTTGGTTATGAGGTTTTTGTGCCCTAATACATGTTCATTTTTTGAGAAGGTACCATTTACAGCTAAGAAAAAGCTACATTCCTTTCTATTTCCATTCAGTTTTCTCCAGAGTTCTCTCATGTCTAACTTTTCTAGTATTCCTTTCCTCTCTTTAACTTCTCTTTTTATTATTTTATGCTTATATTTGCTTAATTCTGAGAGGGAAAGTTGAGCACTTAGTATAGTTTTGCCATCTCTTTCCTTCTGTATGTTATTTTACTTTTCCTTTAAGAAGTAGGTCTAAGCAAGAGTAATTATTAATGATTATATTTATATCTCCTATCTGTAATTTTCATCAATTATTACTATATTATTTTAACTCTCGTGTCTAATGCATGTATTCCTTTATATTTAATTTGATACTTGGTGTGAGGTGTTGATCTCTTATCAAATTTCTTCCAAACTGCTTTCCACACGTGCCATCAGTTTGTTGTTTTTTTTATGAACTACAGGCAATTCTTGTTTTGTGTAAGTGGACCATTGGACAAGCCTGTAAGTAGAAGGATTTTGAAGTAATTTGAATTTGGCCACAGATGTGATTACAAGGGAGGCAGGAAGGGGGTCACATGCCTGTGAAGGGAGTGGGCCAGGAAACAGTTCAAGGACACATGGGGGCCAGGGACAGAGAAGCAAGAGTAGGAAGAGGATCAGGTGCATGTTGGGGCCAGCCATATGGTGGCCTGGCCAGAACTGAGAGGAAGAACAAGTGGAGGACAGACATGTGGAGGCTGGACATGACCACACACAGAAAAAGAGAGGTGACACATGGACTGAAGAAAGATACACAGTACCCCGAGCAGGGGTGGACAGAATACTGACCCGTGGATGCCAGAGCTGCGGATTAATGGAGCAGCCAAATTTCTCCTCTCTCAGTGCTGGAGTTCTCAAGCCAAGGCCTGATCCGGAGGCTGCAGAGGTGGAAGGAATCACTCTGCACGTCCAAAACCCCATTCTTTCCCCTGGCCACTTCTCCATCAATACCCTTTAGATACTTGACCTCATTTAAAAACAATTTTATTGATGTTTTCTGTATCTTATGTGATGGTATCCCATGTATCCCTCCCTCTGCCTCTCCTCCTCCCTGAGAGCCATATCCTTGTGACAAATGGTATTTTTTGTTTTAGGGAGCAAAAGCAATCAACACAACTAAAATACTATACAGAGGAAAAGATATTTGTGGCAGGAGACAGTCTCTCTGAGAACATTCCAATTACTGCAGCCTTGCTCTCTGTGGAAGCGCATCTAGTCTCAGAATACTCAGTGGATGAAATACTTATAGGTGGAGACACCCACGCTCTGAGAAGACTCAGAGGAAAAGATACTTGTGGCAGGAGATAGTCTTTCGGGGAACATTCCAGTTACTGCAGCCTTGCCTCTCTGTGGAAGCACATCTAGTCTCAGAATACTCAGTGGATGAAATACTTATAGGTGGAGACACCCACGCTCTGAGAAGACTCAGAGGAAAAGATACTTGTGGCAGGAGACAGTCTTTCGGGGAACATTCCAGTTACTACAGCCTTGCTCTCTGTGGAAGCACATCTAACATCAGAATACTCAGTGGATGAAATACTTATAGGTGGAGACACCCACGCTCTGAGAAGACTCAGAGGAAAAGATACTTGTGGCAGAAAACTCTTTGGGAACATTCCAGTGTAAGAAAGAAGCTGGGAAGCCTCTCTGGGCAAAGAAACCTGTCTGTAGGAGAAACTTAGGTGGGGACTGTAGTCCGCCCAGTGCAAGCTGAGACCCCACCTTTGTTTCTCTTAATAAAGATTGGTTTCTTTGCCCAGAGAGGCTGTCCAGTCTCTTTCTTACACTGGGTACTACAGGCTTCCTCTCTGGGGAAGCACATCTAGCATCAGAACACTCAGCAGACAAGACATTTGGGGCTGAAGACACTCTCTGAGAACATTCTAGTTACTATAGGTTTGCTTTCTGGGGACACACATCTACCATCAAAATACTCAGAGGAAAAGACCAGAGCTGAAGAGAAAATATGACTTTGAAATACAAGATTCTAAAGAAACATTAAAAGGTAAATATGAAAAAGAATTCGTAAGCAACTCAATGAGGTTAAATTGTGCACTTTCCTATAAGGAAAGAGGATACGCATATCTTCTAAGAATGCGATCAGTATTAGAGCAGGTGGAGGGATTCTACATAGAAAGAAGTTTGGGAGTGAGCCCCTTAGGTTGGGATGATGGAAGATAAATGGATAGGTAAGAAATATGTATGCCCTGGGAGAAGGCAGAAAAGAGAGAAAGAATGGGGGAAATAATCTCACAGAAAATAGGTGTGCAAGAAAGAACTTTTACCCTGGAGTGGAAAATGGTTGGGAGGGGGTAGCCAATGCTTGAATGTCAGTCGCATCTAAATTGCTTTAACAGGGGGAAATATCTATATCTATATTTGTGTTTGTCCCTATATATACTCATTCAATTGGTTATAAAAATCTATGTTACCCTAGAGGTAAGTAAAGAGAATGGGAAAAGAGAAAGAAAGAGTGGTGATAACAGGGTGGGGTGATAAATAAATAGAGCTGTCCTATGCAAAAGAGATATTAGAGAACAGACAGGATAAAAAGAAAGAGAGAAGGAGAGACAGAAGATGATAGGATGGAGGTAAATGCATAGTTAGTAATCTTAACTGTGTGAATGGGATGAATTCACGTATAAAATGGAATGGGGTAGCAAAATGGATTAGAAACCAGCATCCAAAAATACGTTTGTTTGTTCCTTTGTTTTACAAGAAACTCACTTGAAACAAAGAGAGAACTACAGAGTGAAAAAGGGGGTTGGAGCAGAAACTCTAATACTTCAACTAAAGTGAAAAATGGAGGGATAGTAATCATTATCTCAGACAAAGCAAAAGCAAAAATAGCCCTATTAAAAAGGTTAAGCAGGGAAACTGCCTCTTGTTCAAAGGAACGACAGGCAGTGAAATAATATCACAAGTAAAGATGTATTTTGGAAATGGCATAGGGTTCAAATTCTTAACGCAAATGAGAGCTAGAGAAACCCAATCATAAAATGAATAAGAAAGAAGTTAAGAAGAGTAATAGAATTTTAGAAAACTTAGATATGGAAGACCTCTGGAGAAAACTGAATGGGAATAGAAAGGGGTGCAGACAGATGGGGCTTTAGGTAAATTCACGTTATACAAATTGGAGTTTATGGAAGGAATTCTATAAGAAATCTGTATTCCAAGATAACACCTCCGTCAACTTTACCATACTATACTGGGATCTCTTTCTGCTCCTGCCCCTGAAGTTGGAACTCTGTAGCCTCCTAACACCACCAGCACCCCTTCCCAAAAGGAAAAGCTAAAAAGTAACCTCCAACTGAAAGCAGAAGAACAGACCTGCAGAGAGATGGCCACCCCACCACGAGATTGGGAGCTGGCTTGAGACCTCCAGTGCTGAGAGAGCAGACCTTCATTTTAGTCTGCCCACCCTCTTAAGAGTTTGGTGCCTGTGTTTTGCTACTTTGTCCATCCAAAGGTTACTGTGTGTCTGTCCCTGGTCCCCTCCACATGTGGCCTGTCCTCTCCTGAATGTTTCCACGTGCGGCCCTCATGTATCTGCCTGCCGGGGTGTTCTTCCTTTCAGCTGCAGCTAGGCCCTCATGTGGCTGGCCCCACTAGCGATGTGTTCCTCTTCTTGCTCTTGCTTCTCTGTGTCCAGCCTCCACCTGTCCTTGAACCACATCCTTGTCCCTCCTTCAACGGGGTGCAGTCCCCTTCCTAACTCCCTTCTGCCCTTATCCACATCCATGGGGTAAATTCATATTACATAAAGGATCTGTGGAATGGTCTGCTTATGTTGTTTTTGTTATCATTTAGCGTTTATTTAGTATTTACTTTTCCAAAATTACATGTAAAAACAATTTTTAACATTCATTTTGAAATGTTGAGTTCCAATCCTCTCCCCTTCCTGCCTCTCACCCCCCTACCCATTGAGCAGGCAAGCTATTTCATGTAATTTATAAATGTTTAGTCATGTAAAACATATTTCTTTATTAGTTGTGTTGTAAAAGAAAACATAGACCAAAAAAAAAAACCCTCTAGAAAAGTAAAGTTAAAAAGTCTGTTTTCATCTCTCTTCAGACACCATCACTTCTTTCTCTGGGAATGGCTATCATTTTTAATCACAAGTCCTTCAGAGTTGTGTAGAATCTTTATATTGCTGAAAATAGCTATCATTCACAGCTGATCGTCTCATAATATTGCTGTAACTGTGTACCAGGTTTTCATGGTTCTAGTCACTTCAC